GATAAAGATGATCTGGAGCCTTTTCAGTAAAGATTCAGACCCAGGCATGGGAAAGAAATGGCATTGGTCAGACTTTTGTCTATGGAGATTCTCAATCATCCAGGTCCTGGTTGTCCCAAAGAAGAAGCTTCTTGGAGGAGAAGCGAAGCATCTTTAAAGAAAAACCAGAAAGTCCAGTTGCCTCTTGAAAAAAAAACAATTTGGGTCAGACTTTTGGATGATATCTGACATGGGTGGGATGGAGGTTCTATACCCATTCTTAATCTATTATGAAAATCTAACAATCAACACTCTTGAGTCAGAAAGAGCTAGCTCTGGCACACTATTGAATATACCTGGCCTGGGAAACTGTAAGGGAGAATATGGTGTCTGACTAAAAGTACTAGTAGCTGTAAGTACTGGCTTATTTAGCTCCAGCATCACACTTCTCAGACACACATATGTGGTGATTGACTAGTACTTGTAATCAGTCACCACATAAGTGTGACCAAGAAGTATGATGCTGGAGCTAAATAGTTCAGTAACAATTTGGATTGCAGTAAAAAAAGCATTGCTTCTACATCATAGAAAATATTTTTGTTGCATTCTCTGTTGGCAGTAATTTGCTTGAAATTCTGTGTCCAAGTTCAAACAATTTTATCTTAAAAGAGACATGGAGAAGTGAACGTTGGATCAAACAGAGTTACCACAATAGAGGGCCTAAAAAAATGAAAGAAGCTGACCATGATAGCACATCATCAGTATCATGTTTACCCTGCAAACAGAAGACTAAGGAGAGGTATGGTAGCAGACTACAATTTTTTTTAAAAAAAAACCTATTTTCTAAAACACGGGCCCATTCTTTTCCAAAACAAAACAAAAAAGGGGCAAGCAATCAGTAACTAAAAGAAAAAAATCAGGCTGAATATTACAAGAAATCAGATATTAAGAGCTATTAAACAGTGAAACAGTCAGCCTAAAACTATAATAAATGTCTCATTGGAGATGAACATTAGTGGGAGATGGTTCAGTGCAGGGGTGTCAAACTCAATTTCATTGAGGACCGCATCAGGGCTATGGTTGACCTCGGGGTGGAGGTGCTGGGTGTAGCCGACTGAGTAGGTGTGGCCAACTGGGTGGGCGTGGCTAGTTTGATGCCACTCCTTAAACTGCTGGCATGTTTCCTCTTTGCATTGAGTAGACCAGGCCAAAGCCACACTGGCCTGATCTTTCTTCTTCACATTGGGTAGACCAGGATGACCCCACAGGCTGGATCCGACCACATCTCTGGCCGGACTTGGGCCATGGGCCTCGAGTTTGACACTCCTGGTTTAGTGGATATTAGCTATGAACAGAAGGCTTCACAAGAAAAATTGTGAGAATCCTTCAACTTATAAATTCTAAGATTCTAATATATTCTAGTCTATGACCTTCAGGAATTAAAGTTATGACCAGTTTATTATTCCTCAAAATATTTGCTAAGGAGTCATTTTTTTAATGCTGTTTGCCTATAATTTCTAAACAACTCATTTTAGAATTCAGTTTGACATGTCAATTTTATGGGTGTTACACAGAAAAGTAGTTTATAGAATATCAATAGATTAATTGAAGGGCAAACATTATGAATATTATGAAGGATTTTAAAATCAAATTGCACATCTATTATTAGAGAAATAGATATAAAATATTTATTATTCCATTTATTATTCCACTCCTTTTATAATTGATTTTCAGCAAACATAAACTGGGAAGCAAGCTCTACAATAAATGAATATTACTAATGTTAAATATACTGAAAATGATTTGAATTGAGAATTAAGTTTATGAACTATTATTTCAGTTTAATATCTGTGCCATTGGGGAGGACGGATGCTAATTTTAGTTTCAAGAACAGAGCAAATATCATGTATGCATGACCAAATTAATGAATACAGTTCCATTCAGATATCCCAGGTGCTAAAACATTGTTATTTTGAATTTAAAATAATTGAATGTTATATTCTACAAAGATACCCAAGCATTTAAGTTTAAGCCCAGGATTAAACTGCAAATAGGCATATAATTAACAATCCTCTTCAACTGTTAAATCATTTTTGATACTGATTTTGATAGTGTGTTGGCACTCCTGCGATTTCCAAGCTCAGACTATTATGGATACACGTAACATGTTCAACTCACCTCATGGAGTCATATACCATACAACTGAGGCTACAATAGTAACATCTACCCTGAGGAAGATCTCAATTCCTTAAATCTTTGTCCTCTGACAAACTGTTTTGATAGCCATCCCTCTCAAGAGGCAGAATGCACAGAAGCCGCTACACAGAGGATATTTTGAGATGATTGTGATGGGTAGGTGGGCCTTAGAAAAGCTGTTTGTTGGTATTACCTTCAGACAGCAAAAGGTCATTCTTTTCAAACATGAAGTATCCACTTGGAGAAAGGATTGAAAAAAGGGATGTGTTGGGAATTATTTATGAAAGGCAGCCTGGAGTTCTTTGAAGTCTAAAACATCAATAGCATAATGGTATCAACTAACTAGGCAATATATTTCTTTTAAAGAGAATATCTTTACAATAACCAAAAAGTCAAATAGTAAACTCTTATCTTTAGTCAGAAAGATTCCAGCTTAATATGATTTGTCTTACTATTTATATTTCGTCTAATAGCCTCTTTGAGACAAAGGAAACAATAAAATAAAAACTATTAAGAAACCAATTTCAATAAGTACAAAAAAAGTTCAGAGAGATTTAAAAATGCCAAATAAGAATGTTCACAAAAGTGCAACTATTATGGAACAATTAAACAAACAGAAATCAAATCTGTATTATCTCCAACAAGATTCCAGTATTGTAATCAGTTATCCTATTCAATCTCTTCTGGATTCTAAATAATACAGGCTGCCATGTAAATTGCTTAATTTTTCTGTAACTTTTTTAAAAACACATTGGTGCATAATAAACTTATCAGATCTAGCACAGGCAATTTTGGGAACTCTCAAAATCCTCCCAGCTGGTTGTTTTAAGTACAGTATCTATTTTGATGTTTCCCTGTCAGAAATTATTCATGATTTCATTTCTGGCCTGGTTACTTAAATGGAAGTGGACTGTCTCTCTGTGTCTTCCTATATTCCTACAGTGAGAACAATCAACCAATGGAACAGCTTGCCTTCGGAAGTTGTGGGAGCGTCATCAGTTGAGACTTTCAAGAAGAGATTGGACTGCCATTTGTCAGAAATGGTGTAGGGTTTGCCACTTGGGCAGGGGGGTTGGACTAGATGACCTACAAGGTACTTTCCAACTCTGATTATCTGTTATGTTATAGAGTATTATTTTATGTTCTTTTGTCCTGTTGAGCAGGAAAGTTATTTATACGTGGGGAATATTATATAGAGCCTTCATTATAGGCAGATCCTCACTTGCTCAGACTTAGATCCACCATCACCCATCCTGGAAGTCAGTATTCCTCCTGATAACTCTCAACTAAGACAAACAGCTGTTAGTTCCTTGGTAATCTGAAGAGTTGAAGAGTAAGTTGATATTGACTATCCTATGATTAAACAAAGATGAGAGACCACATTTCAGCTTATTCTAATGGGCTAGCAAAAGAGCATATCAAACACAGTAAAATAAACTATTTCAAATACTGAATGGTCTATTACAAGATGATGAAATTCTAACCTAAGACTCTTATTGCAACCAATCTGTAAGATTTAGCAGATACAATTACCCTATATTAAGTTAGATGCTACAGTTAGAGCACTACTAATAGATAGTGAACCTTTAGTCAGCATAATTGGCCCAGGAGTTGGGATTTTGTCTATGGTGTGAAAGATAGATAGAATTCCTTATTGACCAAGTGTGATTGGACACACAAGGAATTTGTCTTGGTGCAAATACTCTCAGTATACATAAAAGAAAAGATACATTCATCAGGAGTCAAGAATCATAAGGTACAACACTTAATGATAGTCAGAGGGTACAATAAGCAATCAAATCATACTAGGAAACTGTCAATATAAATCGTAAGGATACAAGCAACAAAGTTACAGTCCTACAATCACAAGTGGAAGGGGATGGGTGATAAGGAGCGATGAGAAGATTAACAGTAATAGTAGTGCAGACTTTGTAAATAGCTGAACAGTGTTGAGGGAATTATTTGTTTAGCAGAGTAAGTTTTCGGAGGGAAACTGTTCTTGTTTCTAGTTGTTCTGGTGTGCAATGCTCTATAGCAGTGATCCCCAACCTTTTTTATGCCGCGGCCCGGTATCCCCAACCTTTTTTATGGCGCGGCCCGGTACCGGCATCAGCTGGGCGCCGCCATCTTGTTTTGATGAAAAAGTGCTTCCGGTGAGCTCACCGGAAGCACTTTTTCATCAAAACAAGATGGTGGCGCCCAGCGCTTCCGGTGAGCTTTTCCGGGTAGAAATGGCTTTCTACCCGGAAAAGCTCACCGGAAGCACTTTTACATCAAAACAAGATGGCGGCGCCCAGCAAACCAGCGGCCCGGTAGGACTTGTTCCACGGACCGGTACCGGTCCACGGACCGGTGGTTGGGGACCCCTGCTCTATAGCATCGTTTTGAGGGAAGAAGTTGAAACAGTTTGTGTCTGGGATGTGAGGGGTCTGTAAATATTTTCACACCCTCTTTTTGACTTGTGCAGTATACAGGTCCTCGGTTGAAGGCAGGTTGGTAGTAATTTTTTCTGCAGTCCCAATTATCCTCTGAAGTCTGTGTCTGTCCTGTTGGGTTGCAGAACCAAATTAGACAGTTATAGAGGTGCAGATGATGAAACCTTGAAAGCACTCTGCTTAAGAACAGAAGTCTGTTCTTTGGCAAGAATTATACTAGAGATTATTAGATAGAATTCTGAAGAACAGTTTTTTATGTAAAACACTGGAATTCTGGAGTCACTTTCCCTCAGCCCTAACGAGGCAATGGTAAACCACTTCTAAAAAGCCTTGCCAACAAAACTGCAGGAACAATCAGCACAACTGAATGGAAGAAAAAACAAAATCCAGTTAGTTGAGCTTGTTTGTTTATTTGATTTACATAATCACCCATCTCACAAACACGATTCTAGGCAGTGTACAATAAAACAATCAGTTAAAACATCTATAGAGATTAAAAAATTAAACAATTGAAGTAAGTTGAATGAATCAGCATGCTACAATTTCATGGGATCCCCAAGCCTGCAAGAACTGTTTTCAGAGTTCCTAAATGCTAATAGGGTCATGTCTAATCTCATCACAGAAAGGGAGGGGGAAGGCAATGATGTTCCAAAGAGCAGATTGTGTGAAAAGGCTCACCTTCCAGGCATCATTAGATGGAATTCTTCTGCAGATAGGAGCTATACACACACTCCTCTTGCTGGACCTGATGGGATGGGTAGAAGTGTCCAGGGAAAGGTAATCCCTCGAATAACCTGATCTCATGCCATATAGGGCTTTAAAGATCAAAACGAACACCTTGAATTGAACCGGAAGCAAGCCAGAAACCAAGGTTACACACAGAGCAGAGGTTGAATGTGTAGCATTCTAGGAGCATGCATAACTTCCCTTTTCCAGCAGTTTAAGCTTCTGGATGCTGTTCAAGAGGAGCCTTATATAAGTACATTCCAACTGTCCATTGAATGGAAGGTGACCTGAGCATGGGTAACTGCAAGCAGAGCCTCATAATCCAGGACACAACTAGCATAAAGTCCCTCCTACCACAATTGGCACCTGCTCTATGAGCAGGAGTTATGAGTTCAGTAGCACACCAAAATTGTACACCAGATCTGATTGGGGCGGCGAAGCTCCAGTATTAAAGTCCAGATCCAGAAGGCCCTAAAACCCAAAACCACTTAGCCTTATCAGGTTCAGTTGAAGCCTGCTGTTTCCCATCCAGACTCCCACATTTATACCCATCATTTGTATGTAGTTATTTATTGTTCGTTGGCTATTATTTCTGGACCTTGTTTCCATGGCAATTAAAATAGATGCTCTATGGCACACTTTTACGTACTTGAATCCCGAGACATCTTCTTTCAGATTTTTCTCCAATCTGATCATCCCAAATTCTTTCAGCCTGTCCTCCCAGGGCATGTCATGTCTCTATATCAATTGTCTTGCCCTCCTCTGAACTTATTTTAACTTGTCAATCTTTCTGAAAATGCAATACCCATAATCATTCACTATGTTCCAGGTGCGATAGATTGAGGGGAATAATAACTTCAAACATTTTGACACAATACTTCTTTTAATACAGTCCATTAGCCCTTCTAGCACTGGATGATACACATCTTGCTATTTATGAAGCACCTAACTGATAAATTACCATAATTGTAAAACGATAACATAAAAATCTTTCGATTCAATAATGATGCATTTTTACATTCATCTAACAAAATAATTCTTAACTTCCCTGAGGGTTCAACACTACTTCTATTATGTTCTAAGATAATATTATATTGATGTGTGTATTTTTAGGTGGGAATTTTGTTGGTTTTCAGCATTTCAATAAACTGTAAGAGCAACCTTCATATACCAATCCCGCCTTTGTAACAATTACAATGTGCATTCATTTTCATCTTTTTGCTTTCTCTCTATGTGAATGTTTTGTTCACATATGGAAAAATGAGGGCAAAATTTAAACACAGCAGGAAAAAAGGGTTGTCTTCACTGTTGCTTAATATTGCTAGGAACATCCATCCTGCTTTCAACATGCTTATTAAGAGAGAAAAAGGTGCAGGGAAACAGCAAGCAATTGGCAGACTTTTTGAGTCCATTAGCCAGATGTCCAACAGCTATTCAAATGGTTAGACCATCTCATTGCTGAAAGAAATTAAAAATGACCCAATGGAACTGCTGTGCTTGGTAAATGTAAATTCACTCCAGCAATCTTCATCATAAAACTGCAGATTGGAAAGCTGGATGTTGAAACAATATTTCTCCAGAACATAATTTTATTTAATAAAAACTTAGGTAATTTGATACTCAAATATTTATCTAAGCATCACCCAGACATCTATTTTATGTTGATAGTTTATTTGATGCAATTAATTTGCTGGTTCTAGGTGGACTACCTCTTGGTACTTTAGCTACTTGATGTACCAGTAGTGGGGAAAATATGTAGAATATATGTAGATATGTCAATGCTTATCACAAGCCTGATATTCTCACTAGTCTACAAGGAATTTTAAGATCGATTAGAATCTTATAACCTTGACCTCTATGTACTTTTATCAAATACATTTCACACTTCAAACAGACTGTTTAATTATAATAGGACTCCTCAAGTTAATTTTCAATTTCATCCAACTGTACTTTCAAGTGAACTAATGAAACACTATCAGTGAACAAGTTTTACAATACAAAAATAGTTTGCCATTCTGTATTCAGATAGATGCTATTAAAAACCCTAAGCATTTACAAATTTAGGTACCTTGTAATGTTTTGCAATGGTTCACATTTTTTAAGGGTTATTATTGGCAATCCAAAATATATTAATACTGTAGCATTTGTGTATTTTTACCATTTTGTACTGTAGCAGAATGAATATTTTTTTAAAAAAACTAAGTTCTTATTCTTAAATAGTCTTTATGTGATCATATAGTATAAATTCACATCATTTCTTAATTCTCTCAATTTCCATGAAATATATTCTGTCAAGAAAAATTATGCATATTAAAATACAGAAAAAGCTTATTCCTCTTGGATAGTAAGCTTTTCCTTAGAACTGATTATCTGGGAGTTATTTTTCAAATGGATGATTTCTTATAAATATTTACATCTTTGAAATCAGAGAACAAGTACACAGTGGTGCATTTTTCAAAATAATATTTCTTTCTCCCTGGTCATTCTGGAGCACATTCTGTTCAAATTATGTGATTCCATGTATGCTACTTATGGGAGACTGCAAATCTTTCTCTTCTTTTCAACAATCTTTTCTTCTTCATTAAAACAACCCACAGGGTTAATTTCAGTAAAATGTAAGGTTGGAAGTAAGGATGTAGTCCTATGTATTAACTTAGATATACAGAGACTTTAGTTCCTGGAAAAAAAAACAGAAATAAATATCTTATAAAAATATTAACTACAAAGCAGTCAAGAGTCATTTGCTTTCTTTCCTAGAGCCCATGAATTGATTGACTGACTGATCTAATTTCTATTTTGCATCAATCAACTTCAGAACAACTCATTTAAATATGTCTGGGAGATACACACACACAAACACACACACAAGATTATTTATGTGGCAAAATATGCTATGAGAATTTAGCCAAATGCTTCAAGTACTAGTCCTGGTAAAGCAAAGCCTAGTGTGGCTCTAGTAAGGTCTTGAAACGAGATGCTTTACCATGCATGGGAACTCAAAGGAAGAACCACTCTTACTTTTTGTGGCTGCTTCAAGCTAACACTATAATAAAGAAACTTGTGAAAGTTGGGGGGGGGGGGCGGAGCTGGCGTCTCAGCAATACAGCGTGCAATCTTGAAGCTCCAAGATTGCCGCTGATATCTCCATTGCAGGACGGTCCCACCGGACCTAAACCGTCCCGTAGAGACGGTGACTGAGGAGGGCACATCCTGTCGATCCCAGGGACATTGCAAAGTCCCTGGTCAATCCAGGAAAAGCCCTTCTGCTGGCGTCGGAGAAGCAGCCATTCAAGCTGCTGAAGCTGAGACAGCTCCGGAATGGAAGAGATTGAAGGAAAGTGTGTCAGTTTGGTGAGATGAACTTTTACCTATTATTGCTTGAAGAGAACACCCTGAAAGATTTAAAGTGAAATTAAAAGTGAAGAGAAAAGTGTTTAAGTGGCGAAATTAAGCGTTAAAGTGAAAGTTTTTTCCTTTTCCCTTTTTACTGGAACTTTGAATTTGGTAAAGTTACTGAATTTTAAACTGGACTGGTTTCTTTTAAATTTTCCATCTTTGTTTTTATTTTTATTTTTTTAGCAATTTTTTGAAAGTCTGTTTTGATTAAAACTCTTCTTTTGGATTTGACTTTTATTTTTATTTTTTTCAAAAAAAAGGAAGGATTCAATTTTCTTTTTTTGTTTCTGGTATTGAATACATGAGGGGGGAGTGAAAGTGAAGGGGAAAAAACGTAGCACTGCCATCTAAAGGCTTGGAAATATTGTTTCTTTCTTTCCTCAGTTTGTTTATGTACTTGTGCTATACTCAAAGACTCTGAGCTTTGCACTGGAAAAGATAGTGGGATGAGCATGGCAGATTGTTTATACAGGTGCCCATCTGTGAAACTAAATAATTAGAGCTTTGAGCTGAAGTTGAAAGAGAGAAGATTGAAGTGACCTTGAAAATACTGGAACCAGAAACATTGAGTTGATTTATTAAAGAGCCTTGGATACTCAGTGGCAGTGGCTGGCTTAACTTTAGGTTATTTTCCATCTCCTTTTTTACTCCCCACCCAATTGGATTTTTATATTTGGATTTTAAACTTCTATTCCAGAAACTAGAACGTAATTTTTTTACTTCTTTCTTTATCCTCTTCCTTTTCTCTCTTTTATTAAGAGAAATAATTGGATTAAGGTACATAAGTGCCTGAAGATTTTTCTTTTTCCCTTTTTCTTTTTTGGAGTGGCAATTGCCTGCCTGTACTCCTTTTTTTTTCTTCTTTTTCCTTTTTCCTTTTTTCTTTTTCCCTCTCTTCAGGTAAGCACTACAAGATGAGCAGAAAGACAACAGCACCAGCTTCCTCAATTACCAATAGCCTCTTCACCATCTGGAGGACAATGGTCAATATAGACAATCTTGCAACAGGAGAAAGAGAAGGAAGTGACATTACAGATGATTATGCAAGGAATTCAGAAGATTGAAAAGAGAATGGAGAATATTGAGCAAAGAATTGAAAAAACAGATGAGAAAGTAGAAAATATTCAACAGATGATGCAATATGAAGATAGATTTTAAAAAATTGAAGAAGATACACAAAGGGACAAGAAAATTGGAGATATTGATACTCGATTGAGAGATGTTGAGAAGGGCAGATGAGAACCATTAGGATGGGAAATTGACAGATCAGAATTCTACTTAAGATTTCAAAATGTAGAAGGGAAAGGTGAAAATCTTGCTGAAATAATGACAGAAATACTGACAGAAGCATTAAGAGATAACTAAAGAGAAGATGATGGATGGGATGGATGAAGTGTTCCGTGTCTATACAAGATACGCAATGAGAGACTACCAAGAGAAGTTCATATCAGATTCACTAAAAAGATTAAGACACAGAAATTCCAGGTGGCAAGAGAGAAAACTTTACTTTAAAGATAAAGAAATTGTGGTGCTGAAACAGGTACCAAGAAGACTAAGAGAGATGAGAAGAGAATATTACTTTTGATCAAAGAGTTACTTAAAAGAGGAGTAAATTACAGATGGCTGATGCCAGAAGGCTTCTTGTTCACCTGGCAGGAACAAAGACACATAATTGACACAGTTGAAAAAGCTGAGCTATTCTACATAGAATATTTCAGAGGAAAGGAGGAAGAAGCTAGAAAGGAAGAGTCACTAATTGAATTCCAAGAAGAGTGTATAGCAGTAATTGAAAAAGAGAAAGAAGAAGGTGCAGTAGTGGTATACCCAGAGAGCAGCGAGAATTAAGACCTACTAGAGCAATAAAACCCCCTCACAAAGCTTAACATGGATGAAAGAAAATTGATTACGATTAACATAAATGGACTTAACTTGGCTACTAAAAGAAGGAAAGTATTTCATAAACTAGAGAAATTAAAATTTGATATAATTTGCTTACAAGAAGTACATATTAAAAAACAACATGAATATATACTGAAACAAAAAAAATTAGGGAAATTATTTGCATCACTGGCACAATCTAAAAAAAGAGGTGTGGTTTTATATGTTAAAGACACAATTTTGGCAGAATTAATTTACACAGATGACGATGGAAGGATTTTGATGGTGGAAATAATGGACAATAATGTTAAAACACTTTTCATTGCAATTTATGCTCCAAATGATAACCAAGAAGAATTTTACAGGAAATTACATATGAAATAATTGAACTGAACTATGCTAATATTTGTATGATGGGGGATCTTAATGGAATAGTTAATGATCGGTTGGACTACAAAATGCAGAAATCAACAAAGAAAGCTAGAAAGATATTACCAAAATCTTTCTTTTGAATAACAGAAGAATTCAACTTAAAAGATGCATGGAGAGAGAGAAATGGGGAGAGTAAGCAATACACTTTTTACTCAGACATGCTTCATGGTCTAGAATAGACATGATATGGATGTCAGCAGAATTACTGGCTAACATACGAGAGATTGAAATAGAAACAAGCACTTGGACAGACCATAATCCAGTGAGTTACTTGGAAAGGATATGAGGAGATCCAGATGGACCTTAAATAATACGATATTAAAAGAAAAAGACTTCAAACAGAAAATAGAGAAAGAACTTGCTTTCTTTTTTAAAGAAAATAGAAAAGAGGATACATCTCTACAGAACCTCTGGGACACGATGAAGGCCTACACAAGAGGCTTGATAATAGACTATACAAGGAAAAGAAATATAAAACAAAAAAAGACTTTCAAAATATTGGAAGATGATTATAAAAAATTGGAAAAAGACTTACAGAAGTCCCCGCAAAAAAAGACACTAAAAATAAAATGGATATAATTAAACATAAGATGGGACTAATGGAAAAAGAGGAACTAGCACAAAAAATTAAAAATGCTACACAGAATTACTTTGATGCAAATAAACCAGGTAGATAGCTAGCCTATAAACTGAGAAAGAAGAGAGAATCAAGAAGGATTAGCCAACTAATAAATGAAGGACATGCTTGCTATGGAAATGAGAAGAAAATTTTTTATACAAGATTACTATGGGAAATTGTATTTTCAAGAGAATATTCAAGAAGAAAAAGTTAAGCAATATTTGCAGAAAGCGAATTTACCCCAGATACCTAAAGATACTGAAACAATGCTAGAAGGGAATATAACAATGATGGAACAGAAGCCTTAAAAAAAAACAGAATGTTGGAAAAGCACCAGGTCCAGATAGCTTACCAGCGGAATTTTACAAGACTTCCCAGGAAATATTGAATCTTCACCTATTAGAAGTTATGAACGAAGTTATGTTAAAGAAAAGAATACCCAAAACATGGACAGAAGCATATATTACACTTATACCAAAGGAAGATACAGACCTGCAGCAAGTTAAAAATTACAGACCTATATCCCTATTAAATTCAGACTATAAAATTTTTACTTCAATTTTGGCAGAAAGACTAAAAAGACATTTAAATAACTTTATCTATATTGATCAAAATGGATTCCTGCCAAAGAGACAAATAAAAGACAATGTGAGAATTATTTTGGTTACTCTGCAATACTATGAGGCACATCCTGAGAAGCAAATGGCTTTGATGTTTTTAGATGCACAAAAAGCCTTTGACAATATGCGTTGGCAATTTATGTTATTGCAATTGGAACAAATGGACTTTGGTAAAAAAATTCATTCAAGCCATTGAAATGATATACGATGAATAAACTGCAAAGGTTATAGTAAATGGAGAACTAACAGAATCTATAGATATAAGAAAAGGGACAAGGCAAGGTTGTCCACTGTCGCCCCTGCTGTTTGTGTTAACATTGGAAGTGCTGAATAGGAATATTAGAGAAGACAAAGAAATAAAAGGAACGAAAATCAAAAAGGAAGAGTATAAATTGCAAGCTTTTGCAGATGACCTGGTATTTATATTAGAAGACCCATTGGAAACAGCACCTAAATTAATAGAAAAAATAGAAGAACATAGGAAAGTAGCAGGTTTGAAAATAAACAAAGATAAAACAAACATATTAACAAAGAATATGTTAGTAAGACGAAAGAAAGAGTTAGAAGTTTTAGAAATACAGGTCACAAACAAGGTTAAGTATTTAGGGATATACACTGCTCAAAAAAATAAAGAGAACACAAAAATAAGACATCCTAGATCTGAATGAATGAAATATTCTTATTAAATACTTTGTTCATTACATAGTTGAATGTGCTGACAACAAAATCACA